AGATTATCATCTATTCTGTATGACAACAAGATCAGTATAACAGGAAAAGAAGTGTCTGATACTTCTTTAAATAATACAACAACACCAGTCGACTCTCTAAATAGTGCCACAATTTCTGATAATTTACCAAATAATACTGCAGCACCTGTTGGCTCACCAAATAATACTATAATACATACTACAACAGATATATCTGAACCAAATGTTCCAATTGAAGGAAGTATAAGATTGAAAAATCATGAAAAAGGAAAATTGAAAATATATTTATATCCAAATGAACCATTTAATCAAGTAGAAGAGAGTGATGCAATTGCTATTTTAGTTGTTGGTCAAACAGGAAGTGGTAAAACAACATTATTAAATAGTTTTGTAAATGCATTATATGGAATCAAGATAACAGATGATTTTAGATATATAATTATAAATGAAGATAATTTAAAACAATGTAGAGATCAATCTAAAAGTCAAACAAGTAAAGTTTCAATTTATAATATTAAAAGAACAAAAAGAACACCTCCAATAAAAATAATAGATACACCTGGATTTGGAGATACAAGAGGAATTGCATATGACAAAGCAATTATTAAACAAATAAAAGAAGCATTTGAAACAAAAGTATTTGATTTAACTGCTATTTGTTTTGTTGCACCATCTAGTAATGCAAGACTAACAGCAAATCAAAAATATATATTTGGGAATATTATTGATTTATTTGGGAATGATGTGAAAAAGAATTTTATTGCTATGCTCACATTCTGTGATGGTAAAACACCACAAGTTATTAATGCATTACAATCGCAAGATTGTATTTTCAGTTCAGTTATTCCTGAAATAGATGAACCATGGTATTTAAAATTTAATAACTCAGCTATTTATGATGATAATACTGGAGATGAATTTACACAAATATTTTGGAAATTAGGCATGAAGAACTTTGATGACTTTATTGAAAAATTAAAAAAATTACCAAAAAAGTCATTAGAACAATCCAGAGAAGTTTTGAGGAGAAGAGAACGTATTAAAGCCCAAATTGAAGGATTAAGAATATCATTAAATAATGGAATATCAAAAATGGATGAGATAAAACAATATTATGAACAGTTCTATTTGAATCGAGATAAGGTTAATAATAATCAAAATTTTACTTTTACTGTAACAAAAACAATACAAAAAAAGGTCGAACTAAAACGAGGAGAATATGTAACTAATTGTTTGAAATGTAATAGAACATGTCATTACCCATGTTATATTAAAGGAGACATGAAAAAAAACTGTGCTTGCATTGGTGATAAGGAATGTTGTACTGTATGTAAATGTTATTATACACAACATGCAAACTCATCATACAGATTTGATTATGTAACAGAAACAGAAAAACAAACAGCAAAAGAAGTACTTGAAAGATATAATGAAGGTAAAAAAGGTGTAGCTAGTGCAGAGGCTATGTTAAAAAAGTTAGAAGAAGAATATTATAAAATTCAAATGGACTGTTATGATAAAGAAGTAGAAATTATAGAATGTATTAATATATTGTCATCCATTGCATTAAATGGTAAAATTAATAGTTCTAATGAATATTTAGATTTATTAATTGAAACAGAAAATGAAGAAAAGAAAACAGGATATAAAATTAGAATTGAAGGATACAAACAACTAAAACAAACAAATCAAATAATAGAAGATATTATGAAAAAATCAGGTTCAAAAAAGAGTAAGCAAGAGATTAAAAAAGAACTTGAAAGAAAAAAGGAAGATTTAGTACAAGGAGAAAAATCAACATTAGATAAAAACTGTGAGAGTTGTGTTATTTGCTGAAGACAAATAATTAAATGAAAGTTTTAATTAATTGGTTTAGTTTAACTCATCAAATATCTTCATTATAAATGAAATACATAATATCATTTATTATCTTATTTGTAATGTTATCACTATAGTTGTAGAGTTAAATATTAGTTTCATTTTATCTTTTTAAGTGTTAATAATGATTAAATCATCAATAAGTATCATACTGTTATTATTTAAACTTATTTACTCTTAAATTTTTCATTTTTCTTGAAGTATTTTGTATTTATTTAATTTGTGTAACTAGTTGAGATGTTTTGATATTGTACAATTACAATATCAATAAATATGATTTGTTGTTAATGAAATATGATTGAATTTATGTAATAATTAAACTCTGTATTTAATTCATAAAACAACAAATTCTCTATTTGATTGTTGTGTAATATGAACAAACATATGTGATATATACACATTTTCTCATTGATTTTCTGACTCAATAACATTATGTTGATATTCATTCTCATTATTTCTTTATTTGCTTGATAAAGTCATAAATAACTTTGGACAATTCATCTTGGCTTTTATCAAATAACTCTACCAAATGACATTACCACTTGAATAACATTCTTTTTTTATTCAATGATTTTCTCTTTTATACTTTTTTATTTCCCTTTTCTTAATGAATCAGTGTTTATTCTAATTGGATTTCGTTATTTGTTTTTAGTTGTTTAGTAGACTAACCAAGACAATAAATTACAAAGAATATAAATATGATATTTCTCATTAACCAGTTTTTAGTTCTTTTTTATTTTTTATTTTTTAATATAACAAATAAATGAAATATGATTTAAATTATTTAATTAAATTGAAATAAGTAGAAATATTATTTATTGTTTCTTTGAATAATACAACTTCACATAAATAATTTAATTGTCATGCTTGTTTCATAATACTTTAATCAAAATGTGATTTCATTTATTTATAATTTGATTTATCTTGTTAAGGTTTGTATCAACATGATTATTATTGACATGAAGTAAACTTAAAAGACAAAATATGTTCACAAAAGAGTATTAGAATATGTAGAAATTCTTTATAATTTATTTTAAATTACTTGATATTTATATTATTAGTTTTTCATGTTTTAAATTTCTTTAAATTAGTATAAATAAAAACAAATGAATTCTTTCCTTTATTATTATTTATCATTTATTCATTTAAATTGATTGTTCAACTCTTTCTTTATTTTCAAATTCATAATTCAAGTATTACAATAATATTGAATATTGTAAATAAAATAACTCCTATTTTTTTTTAATTTCTTTTATTTCATTCATCTTTGTTTCTTTTCAGATTTGAAGATAGCGTGTCAGATATAACACCACATGGAACCTTAATATCCAATCTTTGAGTCGTCAATACAATTTTATAATAAGATGCTTTTGGTGAGATAACACATAACCTAAGATTAATTAGTTATTATTTATTAATATTTATTACGAATGATTATTATGGAGTATTAGTTATTTATTATGATGGTATTATTATTTATCAACATATAAGACATTTATCAATGATAGATTTGAATTGAATACATGGAGTGTTATTAAGAAAAAGAAGATTCTTTAAACAATATTGATGATAAAAGAGATAGACCATAATCATAATGTTGTTGATATACTCTTATAATAACAATATAAATAATGAAGAGTTTTAATACTCATTTATTTCAAGATAAAAATCAGATAACAACTTAAATGATGAATTACTTAATTTAGAAATGATTGAAAAAACAATAAATGAATAAAGACAATGATTAGTGAAGCTGATTTGTTCACTTCTCAATATGATGAAAACATAATCATAAATAATTCATATTTAATTTCTTTCTTTTTTCTATTGATTATTATTTTTATTATTTTTTATTTAAGTTATATAAAACATAATAATTTTATCTCATTTATTATTTTAATAAATAAATTAATTCTTTTTATCATATTGTTATAAGTAAATTACTTATTGATTCTTATAAAATCTGATAAATAAAATTAATGTAAAAATAGGGTGATAAAAAATAATTAAAGTGTTCTTGATTTTCTCTATATTTATTATTTTCATATAATATCTATTTGTACTCAATTCAAACTTATCAAATTTCATTTTCTTATGAAGATATATTTCTTTTTTATCTTAAAAATAATTTAATATTAAATATTTAATTTTATTTATGTTATTTTAATTTGTTCATTCAATTTCTATTTATTTGTTTATTTAAATTCATTTATAATGATTTGATTGTTATTTAACATATTTATATTTATTATTTCTATACAAT